TATTATGATTCAATTATATTTCACTATATAGAGGGTGCTTCTCGATATTCAATTACATTTCACTGTATACAAGGCGCTATTTGATATTGATCAGGGCTGCATTCTATTTGTACAGTCATGGTTATGATTATTTTGATGTCATTTCTGAAATTGAGGCTCTAAATAAAACACGTAATTCTAATAAATTTTTTTCCTCACCCTCTCATTCAGTTTCACTAAAAGACAAATATATGAGTGAGAAACACAAGATGTTATCAGAATATATGTTTGCATGCCACTAGTTAAAAAACTGAAAACTATTTTAATATATTTGCATATTTGCAATCTGTCCATTGCCCAAAGGCTGCCTGTCGTCTTTAACCCTTATCCCGCCAGTCCTATGTAATTTTTCATTGACATGACCAGGTAAGGGTTAATCATGACGATTACGATCCAGGGTATGATCAGGACAGTATGCAGTAGTTATACATAATCAAATGTGCTATCACAATCAGGATTGAACAAAACAAACATGCCTCACTTATGTTTCCCTACATCGTATATAGAGGGCGCTATCATCTCCAATCTCAATCATGGTTAACCAGTCGTGATTGTGTTCGGTTATGTTCAATTCTGATCTTGATTGGTAATCATGGCAATCAACCTCTGGACTGTGATTGTTGCAATCAAAGATGGAACTCGGGCAATGAACACAGCACAAATATTAAAATGTCTTAAACAAGTTTGCCATTCTTTAGCTAGCAGCATGTAAACATATATCCTCGGGGGCGGAGCTACGTCACAGACGTTCCACGTTGCTAAGACGCACACCACTGTACCATGCATTTCTATGGGCTCTGTGTGCGCTGCTGTGGAACGCCGGTCGAGCCGGTGAAAATTCGAGAAAACAACACAAACTCAACTTTAAAGTAATCGCGAACAACCAAATTTATATATGTTACACACATAGAGCTAATTTTGTTTGCGGGTTGCCAGGCGGTGAAAATGCCCGGATGTCCGCCCCCGAGGATACTGATAAAATAGTTTCTGCTAGTCTTAAAGTGATTTCTCACTTATGTTTTTACTATTTTGTAAAATTGATAAAGTGTGGGAAGAAAACAATCATGGTTATGTTTAGGTGTTTTGTGTAGAGCCTTAATTATAGTAATGACTTCAAACTAATTATGATTATGCTAATTGAATACACAATAGTTGTGTTTTACTCTGTATAGTGTTCATCTTATAGTCATGACTAGAGTGATTATAATATAATTGTCTTTCAATAACCTGCATTAATTCCTATTTTCACAAATCATTATTGTGATTGTAAAAACAAAAGTATTCTCATTTGTGTTTTACAAAATAGAGGGCGCTCTTATCTTCTATCTTTTTACATCTGCAGGATGACAACATTTCAAGGTCAATGGCGATGTTTGATACAGTAATATGAAGAGATTGTGAGAATTATTTACTCCGGTGTTCAATCATCTTTTATTTCAAATTTTTATTTTGTTTTTCAAATTGAGTCTGTTTCTCATACATTTGATTCCAATTGTCTTTTTTTGTGGCGAACAAATTTGATAACTTGGAAAAATAATACTTATATATAAACATTCAATAAGTATTTTTTTTCCAAAACTGGTCACAATTTTGAAAAGCAGGGCTTTGTTTTAGTTTAGAGTAATTAGTTCTTGGTGATTTTATCTACCAGATTTAGAGTTTAAATAACATTTTGCTAACATATTTCAGATGCTCTTATTCGCTTTCCCTGTACAGAAAATATAAAGCGGATATCTTAAGATGGAAATCATGTTACTAATTTTTTCACAGCAATCTTTCAATTTTTGTCGCTTTTCTTAAACCCTGCCCATTTTTTCAATCAAATGTGAACATTATTGCGAAATGTTGTACATTTGGTTCAGAATCAACATAGAATTTACAAAAACATTATAGAAATTGTATAAAAAAAATAGATATCCGATTTCAGGCAGGAAAGCATGTAGCAGTGATTACTTAATGTCTGCCAACAAGAGTGTGATTTTTGAGATCATGCAATTTTAACATTTTTTACTACAAGTGAAATCTTTCTAACAGTCAAAGAAATATTTGTGTGATGATATACTTCCAAGTTACAAATTTTGTTTTTCTGTCTGAAAATGGCTTTAAACTTTTGTTTAGCAATGTCCGTAAATACCATGCACATGTGTGTAGGATTTATTAGTAATGCCTGCAGCCAATGTGGGACAAGGAAGTGTATATGACTTTGTCATATTCATTAAATGATTCTGACAGGTTGGTGATATGCTGGGTTGGAGCTAGAGATGAGGGGACCATATCTGACTGTCTCCATTTTCCACCCATGAATGGGCCTGGGAAGCTAGAGATGAGGGGTCCATATCCCACTCATGAATGGGCCTGGGAAGCTAGAGATAAGGGGGTCAAAATCCCACCCATGAATGGGCCTGGGAAGCTAGAGATGAGGGGGTCAAAATCCCACCCATGAATGGGCCTGGGAAGCGAGAGATGATTGGGGGGGGGGGTCAAAATCCCACCCATGAATGGGCCTGGGAAGCTAGAGATGAGGGGGTTAAAATCCCACCCATGAATGGGCCTGGGAAGCTAGAGATGAGGTACCTATATCCCACTCATGAAGGGGTATGGGAAGTTGGAGGTGAAGGAGTCCATATCCCACTCACGAATGGGCCTGGGAAGCTAGAGATGAGGGGTCCATATCTCACCAATCAATTGGCTGGAAAGTTAGAGATGAGGTGTCCATATCCCACCCATGAATGGGCCTGGGAAGCTAGAGATGAGGGGGTCAAAATCCCACCCATGAATGGGCCTGGGAAGCTAGAGATGAGGGGGTCAAAATCCCACCCATGAATGGGCCTGGGAAGCGAGAGATGAGGGGGGGGGTCAAAATCTCACCCATGAATGGGCCTGGGAAGCTAGAGATGAGGGGGTTAAAATCCCACCCATGAATGGGCCTGGGAAGCTAGAGATGAGGTACCTATATCCCACTCATGAAGGGGTATGGGAAGTTGGAGGTGAAGGAGTCCATATCCCACTCACGAATGGGCCTGGGAAGCTAGAGATGAGGGGTCCATATCTCACCAATCAATTGGCTGGAAAGTTAGAGATGAGGTGTCCATATCCCACCCATGAATGGGCCTGGGAAGCTAGAGATGAGGGGTTCATATCCCACCCATGAATGGGCCTGGGAAGCTAGAGATGAGGGGTCCATATTCCACCCATGAATGGGCCTGGAAAGTTAGAGATGAGGTGTCCATATTCCACCCATGAATGGGCCTGGAAAGCTAGAGATAAGGTGTCCATATCCAACCAATCAATTGGCTGGAAAGTTAGAGATGAGGTGTCCATATCCTGCCCATGAATAGGCCTGGAAAGTTAGAGATGAGGTGTCCATATCCTGCCCATGAATATGCCTGGAAAGTTAGAAATGAGAGGTCCATATCTTACCCATCAATTGGCCTGGAAAGTTAGAGATGAGGTGTCCATATCCTGCCCATGAATTGGCCTGGAAAGTTGGAGATGTGGTGTCCATATCCTGCCCATGAATATGCCTGGAAAGTTGGAGATGAGGTGTCCATATGCTGCCCATGAATAGGCCTGGAAAGTTGGAGATCAGGTGTCCATATCCTGCCCATGAATAGGCCTGGAAAGTTAGAGATGAGGTGTCCATATCCTGCCCATGAATAGGCCTGGAAAGTTGGAGATTAGGTGTCCATATCCTGCCCATGAATATGCCTGGAAAGTTGGAGATGAGGTGTCCATATCCTGCCCATGAATAGGCCTGGAAAGTTGGAGATCACGTGTCCATATCCTGCCCATGAATAGGCCTGGAAAGTTGGAGATCAGGTGTCCATATCCTGCCCATGAATATGCCTGGAAAGTTGGAGATGAGGTGTCCATATCCTGCCCATGAATAGGCCTGGAAAGTTAGAGATGAGGGGGCCATATCTCACCCATCAATTGGCCTGGAAAGCTAGAGATGAGGTGTCCATATCCTGCCCATGAATAGGCCTGGAAAGTTGGAGATGAGGTGTCCATATCCTGCCCATGAATAGGCCTGGAAAGTTAGAGATGAGGGGGCTTTACCCCATCGATTGACAGGCTTGGGATAGTTATAGAATAAGTATTCATTAACTTATCTGGGAAAGTGAAAGATTAAAAAAAAATTCTCTAAAGTGATCCCTTTTTACACATCTTTGTGTTACATTCAACACGTGCATATAATGCAGAAAAACACATTTATTTTAAGACATTTATAATAGTTGTTGCTTCCAGTTTTTATACCAAAAGTAACATTTCCACTTTTAATTGCTAAAATATTGTTATTTGTAATTATTAATATATTTATTTGTAATTATTGAATCATTGTATTTTTAGAGTGTACATTGTGATTGGATTATGATATGCTAATATTAAATCATACATGCTTTAAATATTTTTGAAAAAAAAATTATCAATCATAACTTATTGAGCTGTAAGTGGCTTCCCATTGTAGTGTATAGATTACTTTTAGTCCCTTTTTGTCATGAATCAACAATGAAGTCAGGATCTCTAATGATGTGACCTGTGGAGTCTGATTATTTAAGACTTTCTCTGTTCATCTATATGTATTTTCAACAAGACCAACAATTTGTAAGTACTGCTACTTAAATTCTAAAGTAAACTCATTTTACAACGTGCTCACATGAACTGCCATTTTATGAAACATCTTTATTGGTTTGTGCAGCAGGAGTGTTGCGTGTTGTGATTTGCGAAGGCTATAGTCAAATATTCTGGAATTTCAGATTTTTTTAATTCATGTATAAACCAAGTTAGAATACATGGATATATATGGCTGTCTATAACATGCAAATACCTTGAAATAAATGGTTATTCAAACACAAATTGGCCTACCAGCCGTATATGTGATGTTTACAGTGGAGGGATTGTCACCTGTGCACATTGATTGCAATTTAATGAAGGGTAATGGACATGCCTATATATGGTCATACATACCTTTATATGGTCATACATGTCATTCCCATATATGGTCATACATGTCATCCCTTTATATGGTCATAAATGTCATTCCCATATATGGTCAGACTTGTCATGCCTTTATATGGTCATACATGTCATTCCCATATATGGTTAGCCATGTCATGCCTTTATATGGTCATACATGTCATTTCCATATATGGTCAGACATGTCATTCCTATATATGGTCATACATGTAATTCCCATATATGGTCATCGATGCTTATACATGCCTAACATTATTAATCAATGTGTGGGAACCCTACTAGATGTGAGAGACACAGAACGACAAGTGTAGTCAATTTATTTTTGATGCATATACTGTTGCACACTTTTGTATTACTGATACTTTATAATAAAGTCAGGAGAATTAGTGTTGTTTTCAAAAAGAGAAAGCTTTCTTATTTTATAGCTCTCAATGTTCTCTTGAATTTCATTTGTACTCTGGTCACATTTTTTTTTGTATCCAATGTACTACATGCTAATCACTCAGTACTACAAGTACATGTCAACAACACTTTAGTACGTATTGATGGTAAGACTGCTATATTCAAAACGACAAACATATTTTTTTTTGTTTTTTTTTTTAAAAAAGTGTTCATCTACTTTGGGCTATACCTTGGAGTATAGCAGTTACAAAAATCTTTTATCATGACTTGCTGATAAATTTCATTAGTCGCTGTAGATTTCAGACTAATATAGTGTGCATAAATTATATTCAAACAACATCTATTTATCTTTAGTTTTGCTTGTACATTGTGTTTTTCTAAAACATTTAAAAATAAACTTTTAAAACATTGCTAAGATTGATTTTTTTTTATTCCATTGGTAGTTGTGTATATAAAAAGTGTCACACATCCGCTCCCACATTCTTTTTTTATAACAAAGAAACAATACATTGGGCATGTGTTGTGTATGTCACGTTAGAACCATATCAAACATGACAAAAAATTGTATTCACTGGTGTATTCCTCAAAGTACATCTCTCTATAGATATAGGTTGCAAGATGACAACACTACCAAGTTGAGTTGTTTGTACACGATGAATTATTATTCTTACTATGGATTACTCTTTGCTTTTTCATTAAAAAATAATTGGTCGTTAATAGGGCAAATGACCCTTAACATCTCTCATGTGGGCGTTTGGGTTCTGTTGATACTTTCACCAGGTTTGTTATCTAAATAAGTGTTCAAATTTTAAGGAAACTCAATACTGCGTAGTTCCTTCCTGTTCAGACAGGAGGGCACTTGTCTCCAACTAATAAATAACTACTGAGCACGCAGTTAACCATTATAGCGATACTATGTAAATGTGATGTGATGAATGTAATCATGCTATGTTAGATTTGCAGTGAAAATTACGACAATTTCGTCATAAAAGAACACTTAATTCTTGAATTGATTATCAGAGTTAGGAAAAGCCGCTGGTGACAGTGATAAGCAAACATTTTTTGTGATTCTTCTGAAATGCAGACCAGCACACACCATCTTCATCTAGTCCAACTGATTGGTTTAATTATTTCAATTCTTTGTTACCTTGCCCGTATCATCAAAGATGGAAGGGAAAGGTATATTATCGTTGTCGTGGTCATTAATAATTGTTATTGTGTGCACAATAACTTTACTAATACTATTACAAACTTTATCAAACTTGGTCACCTTATTCATCAGTATAAAGTTTTCCCTTAGTATGAAGGACAGATGTCCTGTATGCAAAAATAGAGAAAATCTGATAAAATAGTTTGACTGTTCCTACTTGACTGATCACTGGTGATACACATTCAAAGGTCACTGATCTCAGTGGAAATATGCATTTTTGTATGTGTTCAATGAAGGAAATCATTTATCTTGTAATAATATCGTCGGTAATGTATCTCTCAAATCCCATGGGAATACTAGACTGGGTTTCAAAACCAACTCATGGAGCGAGTTTTTGCACAGTCTGATACACATTTGCAAACCTACCAATAAACTCTTCACAGAAAACAAGATGTCAGAAAATCAATATAAGCACTATTATGAATTGGATGCCAAACTTTGATAAAGATTTGGAGCCAATAGAAAATCTGTTTAGTTCAAAGTTATCAAATCAAAAAACATTACATAAAAAATACCTTAAAAGCAAAACGTTGCATTGTACTAAAGAAAATTGTACTAAAAATATGTATTCTGTATTTGATAAACAGTTCATTAGACAAATGAACATACACAGAAATTTGTTTGAAAAAGCATTCGACAGAGTCAGTCGGTCAGCTTTATTTTCAAATTTGGTAAAGCAGGTATTAGAGGTAAAATGTATTCCATTCTTATATCTTTGTATTTACAAGTAAAATCATGTGTCATGACACGCGATGATCTGTTAGAGTACATCAAGGGTGTTTTTGTCTCCTTTTTTTTTTTTATAAATGACCTACACGTAGAACTTCAGTTAGACGCACTTTTAGGTGATAATGTTGGTTTGCTCTGTTGGTTTAATTAAGCTATTTTATCTTTTTTTCACGGTTGATTTGGTTTTGATTTCCTATAATGCAATTAGATTACAAAGATTACTTAATAAGTTGAAATCTTATTGTGATAATTGCCATTTGAGATTTAATAAACAAAACCAATGTAACAGTTTTCAGAAATGGAGAAACGTTACGAAGATACGAGCAGTGACGATACGATGGGAACATAATTGAAGTAGTGTCGTAATACGTTTATATGGGTATAAAACTCTCACTACGTGGTTCTTGGGCAATTTGTCAACAATATCTAGCGGATCAGGCTACAAAAGCGCTCCATGCACTTATGGTTACTATATGCCAAATTGGATCAGTTCCTATCTTTTTATGTTTTAAAATATTTGACACAAAAATTGTCCTTATAATGCAGTACGAGAGCGAGATTTGGGGTCATTCTAAGGCACCAGCTGTTGAAAATGTACACCATTACAATATAATCCACACAACAGTAAGAGAGGGACTTGGTCGCCCACTATGTTTTTTCTTCGTTTAATCAGAATGGTGAAATATTAGCTGAATATACTCAAAATGAACCCATACGTTTATTAATGTTACAATTTTCAACGTACATTAATTGACTCAAAGAATGCTGGGTTAAACCATTAAGAATGGTAATATTTCTTTACGGATTTGGGGAGCTGTGGTACAACCAGGGTGGGGCAATGAAAATGTGTTTCTTGGCAGGTTTCGTCAGCGGTGTTTACACATATATCTCCAACAATGGTGTACTGTTGTAGATTCATTTGAAAGATTGATTTCATATAAACTATTTAAACTTAACCTGGAATTAGAATCGTATCTTGCAATTGAAATGACATCAGCTTTTCGACTTGCTATGTTAAAAATCAGAACATCATCACATAGTCTATTGATTGAAATGGACGCCATCTAAACATACCTAGACCAAACAGGATCAGCCCAGTTTGTTTTAGTGGGATTGAAGATGAGTTTCTGCTGAGGCTATATTCAAAATGTGTTCAATGAGCAGCCTCGTCTACAGCATCATTTAATTAACTTAAATGACAACGAACTTCTGGACAACGATCGCTGAACTTTAAAGGCCGGCAGTCGTCGCGCCGAAATCGTCTTCGATATGGGACTCATAGCGACGTATACAACGCGTGTAAAATACATTGTTTATTCACATGAAATTTGAACGCTGCGCGACGACCACCGCGCTTTAACCTTTCACCTGCACTGGTAAGGTGATCGCACAACACCAAATTATCTAAACCCTGTTGACATTCTAGTGTTAATAACACGGTCTTCACGGGGGCGCATCCATGATTTTTTTTTTCATATACAAATTTTTCATCAGAAGTCCAATTCATCCCACAAGACTTTATTGCGGCCATGGAAAAAACAAACTCAACTAAACACAAATCTTACCACTTGAGGGCGTTTATGCCTACAGTTCGGGCGACCTAACCTTATTAAAGCCCCTTTCTAGAGCAGCCTAACTTGCGGCATAGTTAGATGGTCTAGCGCGTTCTCATTTGTTTTTTTGTTTTTTAATAGCGACCAATCGCGAGTGAGAACATGATATTAAATGGGTTTAGCGAAATGACATCGTTGTAGCAAAACATCAGTGAATTGCAATGGATTCATGGATTGTGTGTGTTCTTAATGGATTTAGCTGAATGACGTCATTGAAACAAAGTGACGTCAGTGATAATTATAATAGGGTTATATCGTGTTCTCGGGGGTCAGCAAGGGATACTAGTATTTTTGTAAGCTGTAATCAATTGTTTTTATTTTCGTAATAATGTAATTTAAATAAATGAAAAACGTAAATTCGTAGACATGGGCAAAGTGAAAAATGTAATCATCTATTTTATTCTTCCGTAATTTAGTAGTGTATAAAGCATTTTTCACATTCAATGTCATAATTGAACACAAATTGTAAAATATAATTAAAAAAACTGTAAAATGTAATTAAGAACTTGAATTGACTACTACCCCCTCTTCTTGCCGTCTTCTCAATTACGAGTTAGGTCGCTCTGGAAGCATACTATGGGTACCATAGCTGTGTTTTGCAGTTAAAAGGCAAACGCACAACTTTGCAGCCTTTCTATTCGGGCAGCTGCATTGCACAAATTGTAAATACACGCATGTTCCAACAGGTGGTCGGTCAGGCAACTGTCAACTATTAGGCCAAGGCAAATCAATATGAATGCGTGCATCAAGAGTACTGGCCTTTCTAGTAATCTCGGGAAAAAATTGCACCCATATAAAACCAACTCAGTGTCGAGTCTTTCTAGGGCACAATTCACATCCACCCAAGTGCATTGCTTTGCAACGCTAATTCTGATAAGGAATTTTCAGTTCAAGTACATGTACTGTATAAGACTCTGTTGTGTTATTCCTTGTACAGCTCTTTATTTACGACCCATACAGAGGTTGTATGGGTATGTAAATAGAAAAAAAAATGGTTTAGAAGTGAGTATGGTTTTCGAGAGATGGGCTTCACACCCGTACCCATTTAATGTGGAAGTAGCCCCCCCCCCCGGGAAATCTATCTGTTGACAGAATTTTTTCAGAATGCACATCCCTGGTGGTCTGTCCATGACTATTATTAAAGCATTCTGGAGGGTCATTCAACAATATATTGAACGAAATTGCAACCCTGCTCCAACTCCTACATAGGGTTGAAATGGCTCAGGTTAAGCCCTCTTTTGTTTAATCGTGTAATTATTAATAATATTGTATGTTTTGCCAGTCTTTGCATTCTTTTACGTCTAGCAAACGTATATTTTTTGTTCTATTGATAGTTGTTATCTATTGAATCCTTTGTTTTTCACGACTGATTTTGGTTATAACATTATGGCATCTATTATAGTTATATCAGATATTTATTAGCAAGAGTTTTCGAAAGACTATTACCTTTATTGATATTTTAGTCATATTTTAGTCAAATATCATGGAAACCTGGACGTAAATTTTTCAATTATATTGTACAACTGTTCCCATTGCTTTATCCCGGGGGTTTGGCTACTTTGAGAGAAATGTAATGGCGATGTGTACCCAGCCAGTAAACCACGTGACTGACAACTCTGCTGACTGTACAGGTTGACTGACCTACCCGATGACCTTTAGTAGAAGGTTCAGCTGCGCCAGTCACACTGTGTCGGCGCCACGATTGTAGTATGTCTATCTCTACGCAATTTCGCAAGTTTGGAAGTCATTATTTCCCAACCCGTGTGTATGATTTCACAAAATTGGAGGAGCGTATGGCGGAAAAATTCAAGTTTCGGGGTGATGACGTAGTCGTTGTAGGTTTTCCGAAATCCGGTATACACTGGCTGTTGATATCGCTCCGTGAAATGTATAAATCGGACTGGGGTATTTATAAGGTCGGTGACAAAGTTATGGAACCATTGCTTGAATGGTTAATGTGGCGAGACGACGTCGCATTGCCTGGATTCCACACAGAATGCCGAGCGCAATTCCATAGTCGTGGGCCAGATGCGATTCCGTCACCAAGACTGTTCAGAAGTCACTTACCGCGCGAAGTATTTCCCTTGAAGCAAGTGAAGAAAAAAGGGGCAAAGGTCATCCACATTGCTCGCAATCCGAAAGATGTATGTGTATCAAGTTTTTACTATTATAAGACCTTTTTTGATGGCGAATGGGAAGCTCCGTGGGACAGACTGGTCGAGAACGACTTTGCAGAAGGAACCATGCTTTATGGACCCTATGTGACATATGAAACTATGTGGCACGAAGCAGGACTGGAAGACAACGTGTTACATATATACTATGAGGATATGAAAACCAATTACAGGGAAACCTTGGAAAAGATGGCTCAATTCATCGGTCGACCGGTCACGGTTGGTGACATTGAACGGACGCACAGCACTTACAGTTCTATTAGCAATATGAAACCAAGTCAAATTTCTTATATGCCCTTTGATAATCAGACGGGCTCATTCTTCAGGAAAGGTGTAATAGGCAACTGGAAGGAAAAATTCACTGTGGCTCAAAATGAACAATTCGATAAAGATATTGTATCTGAACTGCATAACAATGGAATTACATTTCGATACGAATAAGGAAGGTATATTTGCACATGTACCAAGGGATATATGTTAGCAGCAGACAGGATTTCGTGAGGTGTAATGATTGGAGGTAATCTCGGTCACTGTCTGTCGGACTTATGACCTCGGCGTTTACTGGTACCTCCAAACAGAACGTTAACTACCACAAGCGACCGAGTTGCCGTACTGTAACGAAGTAGTACAGTGAATTCTAGGTGGGTTTCCTGCAGCCCTATCGCGGGTTATGCGTTGTCACAAGTGTACGTACGTTACGTAACTCTTTTTACCTTTAAGGACAATGGGCAATGACCTGTAGAAATTGTACCCGATTCACGTACATATCATAGTGAATTTTTAACCACAAACCACCTACTTAGTTCATTCAGTAGACTGACCATTAATCTACACAGCTCTCTATTTTTAAATAGTGGTGGGAGGGGGGGGGGACGTTCTGCTCTCCAATTATCTCAGATGAGAACAACATAATTTAAAAATACAGTTTTCTTCTAGTGAATGCGTACTATTGAGAACAAAGAAACTAGTAAACCAGTGCTGCCTGGGACTAAGAATGAGTACTTTTCTAGTAAATGCTAGAACAATGACGGCGAGCCTAATAGCAGTATTAGTGTATATATAAAATAATAATAATAAATACAAGTTTATATAGCGCCTATTATCCAGTGATGCTCAATGACGCTTGGTTTCACAGATAGACTTGCTGAAAAAGGTAAGATTTGAGTTTGGTTTTGAAGATGTTAACATTTGGTGCAGAACAGATGTCATTTGGTAATTGATTCCATAAAGATGGCGAGGAATGGGCGAATGACCGGTCACCATAATTCTTGAGATGAGTTGTAGGTACGGCAAGTGTATGTTTCTTATTTGAGCGAAGGATTCTCTGGTTTTGATTTTTGTGAATAAGGTCCGATATGTAGGATGGTGTCAATCCATGTAGTGACTTGTACGTGAGTAGTAAAATTTTGAAGTGTTTCCTATAGTGAACTGGCAGCCAATGTAATGTATGAAGAACAGGAGTGATATGATCAATTTTTTTGGTACGTGTAATTAGACGGGCAGCACAGTTTTGAGCCCTCTGAAGCAGGTGTATCTGTGATTTTGGTAAGCCATAGTGTAAGGCATTGCCGTAATCCAATTTAGTGGTTATAATAGAGTGAATGAGTTTAAGACAGTTATGCTCAGATAGATGTTGGCGAATGAGTCCTATGCGTCTGATATGCATGTATCTCTATGCCTTGATGTTAGATAGGCAATTTTCAATTTGCGATGTTGCAGCTGAAATGTTATCTTTAGTGAAAGAAAGGTAAAGTTGATTGTCATCAGAGTATTGGTGAAAATGAAGATTGTGGTGACGAATAATTTGACCAAGTGATGAGATGTAAATTGAGAATAACAGGGGATCGAGTACTGATCCTTGGGGGAACTCCATAATAAGCGTTGTTTCTTTAGATGAATGACCATTAATGACAATAAAAGAAACGTACTAGTGATTCTCCTTTACAATTACCCGCACATGTTAATGGCCAGAGTGAAATAGTGTTATTAAAATAAATCCAAATTGGAATTTTTCAGTGTAATACATACAGGGGTGTGAACACATACAAATCTACATAAAAACTGTGTACGAATTCTCTGCATAAACAATTCACAATACTGCACTGTAGCAGTTCTCTGAATTTTAACGATTTTTGTAATGCCAGTGTGATGATATTGCTAATATTTGTGAAAGTTGATACGACGATGAATATACATCATATATCCGAATCACACGGTTTGTTGGTGCCGACGTATTGCCGACTCCGCCAACCCGTGGATCAGCCCGGATAAACGCGTACTTTATGTTAACAAATAGCCAAGTTTGATTGGATGCGCCCGCTGGAAAGGCTGGTAAGCTAAAAAAAATGTCGGAAATGGCGGCCTGCACGTGTAGCACGGCTATTTCAAAATTCTTCCAGTAACCGAGCGTTTAGGTTTGTCAAATCCCCAAAACCGGCACTTCAATTTTTCACTCAGTGGTCCACAATATTTTATGCCAACTTTGCAGGCTGTTTGTGCCATACTTCGTCAGCAAAATGACAAATATTTATGTCGACCATGTTTAACAAAGTAATAAAACAGTCAACTCTGAAAGCACATCTCAGAAACTCCTCTTGACTAATCATTCAAAAGTTGAACTGTTGCACAATTTTCCTGATTTGCGACTCCCTGTCCTCGTTGCAACAAACTCATCTTTTTCAGCTAGCAATGCCTCAATTTCATGGTTTTGGTGATCGGTGAGGATTTTTATCTTGAAAAACTGCGTGATCTTTTCTGCTTTGGGTCGCTCTGCTGTATTTTGATACAAGATAGGTGATTGGCTGTATATTTTCTTTGCATTTCCCCCTCCTTGTCGTTAAGGGCGCCTATTGAATACACACTGTAGTAGTTCAATCTGCCAAGGGTTAGTTTGTAGGGGTGACCCGAAATAGACGATCCTTGGCTGGCGAAGATGGGGCTATCAGCCAATCAGCGACGACCTTACAGTGAATTGCACGAAGATGTATTGTGCCTCGTTTATACAATCGTACACTGTATGTGAACGCATACGACATCAATCAACATACAGTGCACACACTTTCATTTTTAAGCAACTAAATAATCAATTGATTATCTATGGGATCAGTTTCTGTGTACCATCACATGAAATGTTAATTAATATTTAATATTAGCACTTCTTTAAAAACATCTTCTATGAAGAACATTTCGAACTTTATCTGACGAAAATTATAAATAAATAACTATTTTATTGTTAATGTGATTTTTTTTAACTAACCTGTTCCCACTATCATGGTATATATACCTTTATTTTTTCTAGCTGAAAAGTTTTTTGAAACAGTGTTCTTTTCGTTAATTTTGCAATCCAAGATTTAAATAAAAAATAACATCTGCGTTATTCACGTGACAACCTCGCTTAAAGGGCACTTACAATCCACTGATACATGATACCCACTAAGTGCATCAATGACATATTGATTACTGATTAGAAGCTTTCTATAAATCACACAGACCACATGTCTGAACACCAGTCGGAGTGTGACGTTTTTATCGATACTGCAGCCAGGTGAGTCCACAGACACAATCGAACAAACACACACAGACTACCAGTGTTTGAAGTAATTCTATCATTTTAAACTAATTGTAACATTTTTGAAATTAGTTATATATTATGGCTATATAACTCTTAAGACTTCCTCCATAGACACAAATGCAATTACTGATAATAGTACTTCTTTAAAAAAAATCACGTTGACGCATGGATTTAAAACCCCACCCTAAAAATCAGAAAAAAATACTATAGCTTTCATATTATGCACCTTGTTAAAAACATATTAGTGTGATTAAATAGGTGTGCCGGACAGTGTCGAAATCGCGGAATGAAACTAATTTACCGTTAATTAACATAACAATAGTAATCACAGGAATATAACATTATGGTATAAATTTGACAGTGACAATTATCATTAACTACATCCATTAATTTGTGAAGTAATAACTGTATTAACTATGTCCATCGATGCATATATATTCACCCATGATTTGGCAAAGAAATGAATTATATTAGTTTATCATATGACGTATAAATACCATAGTTCTATTGTGGTTTTGCATATATATATATATATATATATATATATATATATATATAT